ACAGAGACCTGGAGCGGATAGAAAGAAAGTTTTTCAGATGTTAGTATCAGTATGTTCGTCTATCTATAATCTAGTGCAGTGGTTTCCCAACCCTGTTCCTGACGGCACACCAACATTGCACATTTCATTCATTTTCTTTTCGGCTTAGTCCCTTTATTTATCAGGCGTCGCTACAGCAGAATGAACCGCCAACATATCCAGCATATGTTTTACGCAGTGGATGCCCTTCCAGCTGCAACCCAGCACTGGGAAACACCAATACACTCTCATTCAGACATATACTACGGACAATTTCGCTTATCCAATTCTATGTACCACATGTGTTTGGACTTGTGGGGGAAATTGGAGCACTCGGAAGAAACCCACGCCAACACAGGGGTACCATGCAAACTCCACACAGAAACTGACCTAGCCAGGACTGGAACCAGCGACCTTCTTGCTGTGAGGTGACAGCGCATCCCACTGTGCCATCCTATGTACACATTTCAACCTCTTCCTAATCAAACACACCTGTATCAACTCATCAGAACATAAGAAGAGACTCCAAAACCGGAAGTTAATGGGTCAGATAAGGGAGACATCCAAGTACTGTCGGTGTGCCTCTAGGAACAGGGTTGGGAAACACTGACCTAGTGTGCTTCAAAACTTCAATTTAGAAGATATAAACCTGATATTAACATCTAAAGCTTGCAGTTTCTCCTCCACATACAGTTGAAGTCAGAATTATTAGCATTTCTGTATATTTTCCCCATATTTCTGTTTAACAGAGAGATATTTTCAACACATTTCTAATCGTAATAGTTTCAATAACTCTCTTTAATTTCTAATAACTGGTTTCTCTTTGCCATGATGACAGTAAATAATATTAGACTAGTTATTTGACTAGTGTTTAGCTTAAAGTGACATGTAAAGGCTTCACTAGGGTAATTAGGGTAACATTGTTAGGGTAATTAGGCAAGTCATTGTATAACAGAGGTTTGTTCTGGAGACAATCCAACACTAATATTGCTGAAGGGGCGAATAATATTGACCTTAACATGGCTTTAAAACTATTAAGAACTGCTTTTATTCTAGCCGAAATAAAACAAATAAGAGTTTCTCCACAAGAGCAAATATTAGAGGAAACACTGTGAACAATTCCTGAATCTGTTCAACATCATTTGAGAAATACTGGAGAAAGAATAAAAAAAATCATAGGAGGAGGAATAACACTGACTTCAACTGTACATGAACCTCATACTTCAGTTTCTCATCAAATCTTTTGACCAATCAAATGCTCTCTAGTGTCTGACATCCCCCGCCCCCTAATCATCATTAGGTGTTTACCTTTGGGGTTTGGTGGCGTGTTGAGGAGTGACTTGAGAAGTTTCATGTCCTTGATGTTGTGGATGTACAAAGCCTCCTCCAAACACACTATGAGTCTCTGAAAAAACAGAACAGTCCATTTATTAATATGACAAGAACTGCTTTAGCAAGACATGATGGGTACAATGCAAAATATGCTCATTTAGTTGGAGTTTTTATCTTGTTTCTAGTTCAAATATCTAAAGATTCTTAAATCAAGAAGCATTTTATGAACACGTAAAAAATATTGTCATGTCTTTAGAAATAATGAGTCAAAATAAAGTGTGTTTTTTATTAAAACAAGCAAAAAATATATATATGGAGGAAGAAAAAAATATTTTTTAAATTAATATAAACTTTTAAAACAATTTATTAACATAAAAATATTTGTTTTCTTTACTTTTTGTCATTACATGTTTTACTAAAACTATAAAAATATAAAATTTTTTTTTAAATATATTATAAAAATAAATCCATTAAAAATTGGGTGAACTATTACTTTAATAAAAAATATTAAAATAAATTATTCATACTGTGACATTCATTACTTTATTAAATTTCTGTATAATATTCTGTTTTTTTATTTTTTTTAAAGATTTTTTTTGTCTTTATTATATGGACAGGACAGCAATGAGACTGAAAGCAAAGTGGGAGAGTGACAGAGGGTGAGGACGGGAAATGTCTTCGAACTCGGGACGCCTTGAGGTGCTACTGCAACTTATGTTAGCACGCTAACCACTAGGCTACTGAGCCAACAATATTATTATCATAAAGGTTTTTAACTGATTAATACTAATTAATATTGAGTGTTTATTGCATTTTTATGTGAATAAAAGCACAGATTTGCGGATGAGTCTGCGCACCTGTCGGTTGAGTTTGAGGGCGAGGATGCTGCTGGAGTAGCTGTAGTTGCAGATCTCTGTGCCCTTCTTAAAGTGGTAAATGTTCATGGTAAATGGAGTAGATTTACTGACCACCACCATCAGACTGCTGGAGAAGAGCCGCTCAGCAATACACACATCAGAGCTCTCGGCTACACACACAAAACACACATATATACAAAACACATGCGGTCAGAATTATTTGCCCCCTTTGATTTTATTTTTCTTTTTTAAATATTTTCCAAATGATGTTTAACAGGGCAAGGAAATGTTCACAGTATGTCTGATAATATTTTTTCTTCTGGAGAAAGTCTTATTTGTTTTATTTCGGCTAGAATAAAAGCAGTTTTTAATTTTTTATGAGCCATTTTTAATTCAATATTATTATTAACCCCTTTAAGCATTTATTTTTTTATTTTATAAGTTATACAATAACTTGTCTAATTAAAATTAACAATGTTACCTAATTAACCTAGTTAAGCCTTTAAATGTCACTTTAAGCTGTATAGAAGTGTCTTGAAGAGTATCTAGTCTAATATTATGTGCTGTCATCATGACAAAGAGAAAATAAATCAGTTATTAGAGATGAGTTATTAAAACTATTATGATTAGAAATGTGTTGGAGAAATCTGCTCTTAAACATAAAACGGGGGAAAAAAAATAAAAAGGGGGGGCAAATAATTCTGACTTCAACTGTATATGTATGTACTACAGTGCACACACTTATATGACCTAAATACAAACTTTTATTCTGAAGTTGATTGATAAGAGGGGTGTCCAAACTCAGTCCTGGAGGGCCGGTGTCCTGCAGATTTTAGCTCCGACTTGCCTCAACACACCTGAAAGGATGTTTCTAGAAGGCTTAGTAAAGCTGCGGTCACACTAGAGTTTGAGCTTGCGATATAGTTGTGCGGTGCTGCGATAAGGGACGGGATTAAACAAGATTATTAGACATTAAAAAAGCGAGCGATTGCACCATGTTTTAAACTTCTGTCCAGAGATGTCGTGTTTTGATCCTCGATTGGTCTCACGCAGTCAAGTGATGCGATTTCACAGGTCAGAGTTCACCAAGCTTGAACTTTGCACCGCAGCAACCTGCGAAACTTGACGTATGATGCTGCGTTTAATGGAGGAAAAGCCCAGTGTGACCGCAGCTTTAGAGCTTGATTAGCTAGCCCAGGTGTGTCTGATTTACCCTAATTAACCTAGTTAAGCCTTTAAATGTCACTTTAATCTAGTCTAATATTATTTACTGTCATCATGGTGAAGATAAAATAAATCAGTTATTAGAAATGAGTTATTAATACTATTATGATAAAAAATGTGCCGAAAATGGGGAAGATATAAAAGAAATCCAATTTAACAGGAGGACAAATAATTCTGACCTCAGCTGTATTTTACTGATAAATCTTTGTGTTTGTGTGTGTGTTTGCCCTATCATCTGTGCGAGTGTTCATCTAGATACTAGTCTGTGTTGACCTGACCCTTGATTTCCTTCTGTTTATTTGACAAACTTCCCAAAATGCTTCAGCGATCAAATATCCGTGGCTCGCCCGATCATGCTTTTCAAAGATAAAAACTGCATTTGTTTGGTGATATGCAGGTGAAATCAAGCATTATTCTCTCTCCTGTGCAATTTGAATTCTTTAAAAGATATTTTCAACACATTTTTAAACATGATAGTTTTAATAACTGATTTATTTTCTCTTTGCCATGATGACAGCACATCATATTTGACTAGTTATTTTATAGTATTCAGCTTAAAGTGACATTTAAAGGCTTAATTAAGTTAGAATTATTAAACAAGTTATTGGATGGATGTAAATGTATTGTAATGTGTATTTAAATAGCACAATTATCATGTATGGCCATACACCCAACGCACTTCACAGTCATGATTGGGAGAGGGGGGGGGGGTTCTCCACTCCACCACCGGTGTGCAGCATCCACTTGGATGCTTATTAATTATTATTAATAACCACAGAGAGTCAGGAGCCCGGTTTAACGTCTCCGAAAGACGCCGCTTACTGACAGTATAGTGTTCCCTTCACTATACTGGGGCATTAGGACTCACACAGACCACAGGTTGAGCGCCCCCTGCTGGCCTAGTGTTCCCATGTGGTCTCCCATCCAGGTTCTGACAAGGCTCAGTGCTGCTTAGCTTCAGTGAGTGATCGGTCTTGGACTGCAGGGTGATATGATTGTGGTAAATTTGTTTTGAAGCCAATTGAAAATTAACATTGCCTAAAGGGGCTAATAATATTGATTTATTATTATTATTATTATTATTATTATTATTATTATTATTAAAAACTGCTTTTATTCTAGCCGAATTAAAACAAGTAAGACTTTCTCCAGAAGAAAAAATATTAGAGGAAATACTGTGAAAAATCCCTGAATTTGTTAAACATCATTTGGTAAATATTTGAAAAAGAATTAAAATGAATTATTTTGACTTCGGCTGTATTTGTTTTTAAGGTTGTTATTGAAGTTTTTATTCATTTTATTTTAATTACGTACTGCCGCGATGAATGCAGTCCATTCTGTCCACAGACGACAGAGAGAAAAGCCTGTAGCCATTCCTATCACCAACAACCAGAGACCTGAAGACAAACATTGCATTATATTAGATTTCATTCATTCATTTTCTTTTCGGCTTAGTCACTTTATTAATCTGGGGTCGCCACAGCCGAATGAACCACCAACTATTCCAGCATATGTTTTACACAGTGGATGCCCTTCCAGCTGCAACCCAGTACTGGGAAACACCCATACACTCTCATTCACACACACAAACACACACACACTCAATTCCTCTATAGTGCAACAGCCACTGACCCAGCCGGGACTCAAACCAGCGACCTTCTTGCTGTGAGGCAGTTGTGTTACCCACTGCGCCACTGTGCTGCCATTATATTATTATTTTATTTTTTTTATTTTTATTTTATTAGAGTTATTATTTGCCTATTTGTTTATATTATTATATATAATTACACTAATATTATATAAGTATTATATAGTATATTATACAGATTAATTCAGTACTTTATTACTGTAAGTTACCTAAATAAAATGGATACATTAATCTCATATAATATAATAAAAACAAACAAACAAAAAAAGAACAATAAAGAAAAATGCAAACATACTATATAGATATAAATATATTTATATATACTATTACAAGGAAAATGTAATTGTTATAAATAGCATGTATAATGCATTATAGGTATATTGCTATTATAATGCAATTGTAGCTAATATAACTCATATTTAAATGAGTAAATAGATGACAGCCTACAAATGATCCAATACTGTAGTTTTCTACAAGAATGACAAATATATTATACTGCAATACACCAAAATTTACTGTAGTAAAAACTAAAGTACACTACAGTATTTATTAGTTTATCAATTCACTATAGTTAATATTCTGGAGCATTCATTAATAAAGTGCTGTAAATATTATATTGTATACAGTATAATACATGTTACAATGGCCAGAAACACTATGAATTACTATACTATTATTTCATGTGGGTCATGTTTTCTCGAAATATCTGGACAAATCAAAGGTCATAATCAACATAAGCGCTGGTATTGAGGTAAAGTTGGTGTTATATGCCCACATTCATTCAGTAAAAGCTTGTATATTATGTGTACTCATTGTTTATCAAGCTATTAGGTCTGAAACTGCATATAAATATGACCTAAAAACAACATTAACACTGTTTAATTGACTGAACAATGCACTTTGATGGTCATTGGCTGCTAGTGGGATTTTCCTATTTAGAATTTGCAATTTATACTTAAGTAAATTACATTAATACGGTGAAAGTCTGAATATAAACAAACTTTAGCTTAAATTTGGGCATCTGTTAAGGTTTTGGAGGATTATTAAGAGAAATATGAGTGTTTTTGAGGCTCACGTTGTGTCCTGGTTGAAGGAGGCGCAGTGGAGTCTCTCAGGCCGCTCAGGTCTCACTTTTTCCGGGGACGTATCTGAGCCGCGCAGCCTCTCTTCGGTTCCGAACTCCGGTATCGGTTTGAACATCCCGACGCAACTCGATAATGTGCGTCCATAAATTGGAAGCTTTACTCACTATGTTTTTAGGCTGTTAATAATATATGTGTAAACGTATTATATTATTAACAACGTCCAATTTGCTGACACACTAAATTCAGTTAGTCAGATCATAAACAAAACACAGCTGACGTGAGGCGTTTGAGTCGCGTAGTCACGAAGAATCCTATTGGTTAAATGAAACGTCAATCTCACCTCCTCCTTGAAAGCTGTTTCTGATTGGCTCACAAGTGCACATGGGGAACTGCTAATAGGTGTGGTTTTCTATAGGCCGCTGGTAATTGGCTGATTTCCCTCTCAATAACAGCACGAGGAGTTGTTTTGGTCACTTAAAGCGAAGAGATACTGCTGAGGCAGGAAGTTGACAATAATTATTCACATTATTTATCAATAATCAATTAAACTGTATATTATTGACGTCTACATCTACCTCAGTCCTAAACCAAACTCTCACAGTAATTTAAAAATATTAAGTATTGTTGTACAGTGTCACGAAAATTAGGCTATATCGATGTGAGAATACGCAGCTGTATCCCTTTTATACATTACCTCATCATTCCGTGCGTCATGAAAACTTCTTGTTCATTAAACACAGTTAAAAACAAACACACGCGGTTATATATCCTCATCAGCACAAACGCCCATCATCCCATCAATAAAAAATACTGTAGGCATTTATAGTAACTACTATAGGGGTTTTGAATTAGTATAGTGTGTATTATACTGTAGATGTTATAGCATTTACAACAGTTGCTAATAAATGCTAGTAAGCTAAATGCTAAAGTGAACTAATAAACTGTAAATTATCAAATACTTTGTATTCCTAAAGATATGATGCTCCATGGGATATTATATTATATCATGCAGTGCATCCGGAAATTATTTATAGCGCTTCACCTTTTCCACATTTGTTTATATTACAGCCTTATTCCAAAATGGATTAAATTGATTGATCTCCTCAACATTCTACACACAATCCCCCATAATGACAATGTGAAGAAGAGTTTTTGCAATTGTTGCAGATTTATAAAAAAATAAAAGAGCTGATAAATCAGATGTACATCAGTATTCACAGCCTTTGCTCAATACTGTGTTGATGCACCTTTGGCAGTGATTACAGCCTCATGTCTTCTTGAATATGATGCCACAAGCTCTGCACACCTGTCTTTGGGAAACATTCCTCTTTGCAGG